CAAAGCTGCAAGCTCTACGACTTCTGTTCCCGTTCTTCTGAGTTCGAGTCTTTCTGAAAGTTCCTTTGTTACAAATGACCTCTGTGCCCCTTCGTCAAATAAAATGTTAACATCTGTACAAAAGTTACTAGATGCAACTCCAGATGATACTTTCGCAACAGCGGTTTTTCAACAAAACTTTAGGTCTAGAATGTGTAGTAGAATGTAGTATTGCGGACTGATCACTGGAACCGGAAATGATTTTGGAACCGGAAGTAGTTTGATCTCTTAAACCTGGAGTGTAACTTGGGGCTGTAGCATTCAAATTACTATGTGGGCGTTAATGGCTGGGGATTACTGTCACAGATGCTAGTGTGGTGTTTTCCGCTGACAAAAACGGCATCGATGGTTCGATTTACATGTAGGCTACTTGGTGGCGTCCTAGACAATTAAAACATAACTTTTTCTCTTTAACAATTTTCTTACGTTCAACAGTATTTGTTACCTTCCTACAGTCATTTGCTAAGTGATGGTCACCGCAAAAAGGACATCTCGGACGTTCCGCTCTCTTCACCAACGATGAAATGCCGAAGCTGTGCACGATCTAGTCATGTGCGACAGAAGGCGAGACCTGCGAAGCATTGTTTGGGAGTGTGTATAAGCTTTTGTTCAGTTCAGGCAATTCTGACTGATGTCTTTGGCATGTCAAAGGTTCCGCTAGATGGGTCCCCAGACAGTTGACTGACGACCAGAAACGGACCAGCCTTGACATTTCAAGATATCTTTTGTCTCGTTACGAGGATGAACCTGATTTTTTCTACCGGATCGTAACTCAGGATGATACATGGATCCACAACTTCGATCCAGAATCTAAAAAAAAGAGCATGCAGTGGAAACACCCAAGCTCACCCCCTGCGGAGAAATTCAAGAGCGTGCCATCAGAGATTATGGCTTCAATTTTTGGGATAGTCAGGGGATAATCATGATTGACTATCTTGAGCAAGGTTGTACCATAATTGGATGAATTGATACATCTGCGTCAAGAAATCGCGCGTAAAAGGAGGGACAAACTGACTCGAGGCATTCTTCTCCTGCACGACAATGCGCCAGCTCACACATCCCAAGTTGCGATTGCTGCTGTAACTAACTGCGACTTTGAAAATCTTCCCCATCCTCCATATTTTCTGGACTTGGCCCCTTCTGACTTCTACCTGTTTCCGAAAATAAAAACCAAGCTTCGTGGTAGACGTTTTGGAAGCAATGAAGATGTCATGGAGGCGGTCAATGAGTTCTTTGAAGACCAAAATAGGGAATTTTATTTGGAAGGGTTAAACAAGTTGGAGCACAGGTGGGCAAAAAGTATTGATGTAGAGGGCGATTAAATTGAAAAGTAAGACCATTAGTTGGGTTCAATGACTACCGAAGCAGATCGGGGCAATAACTTTTTCATCAATCCTCTCACACGTTTTAAGGAAAGTTACATAATTTACATACAATATATCAAAAATGTATTATAACATCATATGGAAACCGATACAAATCAAAGTTTCGGTATTGTTCAACTGAATGGACATTTTATATATTGCTTGCAAAAAAATGTACAATTTGACAATGTATGATGTTCAAATTTTCCATTTAGCCTAATGTTAAGTACGTACAAGTATATTTGATCTCAAATATTTGTTTTGCTTTTCAGGACTTGATAACATATCAGCTTTAAAAGAACGTTTTTTTTAAAAATATTTGATTGTGGTGAATCGTCGTGATAAATTTACGTTTAACTACATTTTTGTACAACTTATATAATACTTTTACACTGTAGTGTACATATAAGTTGTAAAATATGTTTAAAATAAACTGATGATTAAATAAATATATATTCCATTGTGTTGTATTGTATTGTGTTGCATTGAATAAGTTTTGTATTGTATATTTATAATAATTGTATAATATTTCGTGTTGTACTGAATTGTATTAACATGAACATGAGCAAATATATGCTCTATTTTTACACAACTACAAGTTCAAATCACATTCCTAAGTTGATTAACACCAGTCAACCGAGAACACCTTTATCCGATATTTTGGTCTAGTAGACAAAGGTGACATCTTTTCATGATAGGACACATACAGCTTTCTAGTTTTCCTACAGTACGCCACTGCTTTCGGGTACCAATTGCCAAGTTTCTCATTTATCGTTATCTTACACGACTTACAGTTGTCTGATACTCTCCGCAAATTGTCGCCACTATCTTGATTCATACACACAAGAAATGTGCCATCATCTAATTCACAAATATCTCTTAAATTTTCTCCGTCCTGTGTTGGTTGATAGGTATTCGTAACGTTCCCCTGCCAATCAAATTGTTTTATAGCCATTACAGGATTACCACGGTCACTCACATATATAGACGTCCCAGCAGAATTAACGACGATATAATAAGGTAAGCTAAACAGAATAGTATCTCCACTTAGACTTTGCAATATTTTACCATGCAGATCAAGAACTAAAACTTTTCCTGGAACTGCAATACATGAAACAACAATTTTAGCTCTGCTGCAAGCAATGCCATGACACCTCTCATTGACATTTACCTGGAGATCAGATGTTATCTGTCTATTTGTTAACGACATGAAATGAATACTTCTTTCATCAGGTACAGTGACGACGAATTTGTCAGTGGTAATAGCTGCCAAATCAAACGGTGATTTACTTAGCTGTATCTCTGAGGTAATTCTCTTTTGTACTGTATCAAAGCATTTTACTTTCCTTTTTGAAAACTCACAGACAACCATTTTATCTGACTGCAGAACGTCCATCCCAGTTATGTCACTTATCTTTTCACCAAGTGAGGAACTATTAATATCTTCAACAACTTCAAGTTTTAGCGTCTTATCCGTATATTGTGTAACCATGGATGTATTCATTGTTATAAGTTCTCCAAGTTTCTGGTGCCTATCTATCACATCGACAATGTACATGTTTTTGACAAATGATACAGTTTGAAAATCATCTGTTAGACTATGTTGTTTTTGCCTAGCCCTCATTTCTTTGAGTCGTTTCTTTGCGTCTATCATTTCAACGAACAATTTATCAAGGCGATTTTTTTGTATCAATTTATGTAGTCGTGCTTGTTTTTCAACCAGTTCGTTTGTGATTGTTTGTACCTCCATTGATAAAACATTTAGATTCGTTTGTTGTTTAAGAAGTATGTTGTCTGCTTCTTTGACAACACGTTTCTCCATTTTGTCTAGACATGTATTGATTTCTATTCTGAATTGACGAATCGCCTTTATTACGTCATCGTGATTTTGAGAAATAGCTTTTATCTCGTCTTTTACTCTCTTTATCTGTGATTTATAATTATCCTCCAGTGCTTTCATTTCTGTCATTGTTTCATTAAGTTCTTCACTGTCTAGAATATATTTCGAGAGTTTTGGTATGTATTCCACATTGCAGGTCCTATGATCTATTGTTGTACAAACACTGCAAACAACGATGTCGTGATCCCTGCAGTAAAATTTTAGTTTTTCGTCTTCATGATCATCACAACTATCAAATTCGTCTTTGACGATTGGAACGCTTGGTGTAGTTGGCATAGAGTCTTGATCTAGTAGAATATGATGACGTGATGGAGTTTGTTTCTTGTGGTGCTTGTAACAAGTGTCACAAAGATGTTCTGTACAGGTTAAACAATAACCTTTTGCTGGTACCCGGACACCATCTCTATCACACGGGATACAGAACAATAAAAAGTCCTCAGCTGAACCTCGTGAAAGAGAAAGAGTCTTTTTTGGTTTTAGTTTACCAGAAACTTCCATAACTTGTTCTGAAATTCATGAATTAATGACAGTTAAAAATCGTATTTATTTATGAACCATTTTTTTTTACAAAAACTTAATAATTATAATAGATGATGTATCTCTTTATACAAAACTAGGTGAAAACTTTCTACACCTACATGGTTTCAATGATAATAAGAAAATCACCGTTGTAGGGACTTTGAATTATTTCGTGCGAGGAAGCTATCAAGCTTCTTTACGGAATGTCGGTTGTTCTACTTAGGTGCCCGTTTGTGTCTGAAGACGTGGTCTTCATCCACCAGTACAGCTGGAAAGACGCCATAATACCTCTGCTATGTTGGTGCGACGTAAAACCCAATCGAAATATGTATTGGGACTTAAACCTCCAGTATTTTGTAATTGAGGATGCAACATATAGTTAAGTGAAGTTATATATGTATATAATTATTCTTCTAAAACAATTTCCAAACATCCAAGAATATGTTAAATATGTACATCAAATGTTTATATACATTTTATTTAAACTGGCTTAGACTTTATCGAAAATAAATCTCTTATAACCTCCCTTTATTTACATGAAATATCAAAATCGGTGAAATCTTTACAAATAATTCTTTTTGAAACTAACAATACTGATAAAAAATAATCTTATTTTGAGCATCAGATTTAAGATATAAAAGCATACAAATTTGCATTACAGGGTCTTTCAACTACCATCATAATGTGTTACCTCACATTTATTTTCGGAATTCAGACATAATTACGCCTGTTTGTATTAAAATAAAGCAAAATTTTAAATTAAATACAATCGTATTCGATAGACATATTAAACTTTCTCACATATCAATCACAGTCACTTGATCACCTAACAATGTTTCACTCATTTTTGGTGAAATTCGTAAAAGTCAGGTAACTACACGTCTTTCCACATGCAAAACTGCCCTTGAACACATTTGTGCATATTTTAATAACCTACGATGAATTATTGTAATGCATTGTGTAAAACCATTGATAGTCATCAGCCAGAAAGATAAGTTGATAACCCAGGGCAAGTTATTTCTTTTTAGTTTTAGTGAAATTATATATAATTTAGCGCTCGAATACTTTCAAATAATACTACTTCACATTTGAACTCGATCCGTGTATTGTTCTGTAACAGTGTACCCTTTTAAATAGACCTAATAACATGATACGCGATTTACCATGATTTAATGAGTTGTATGTTAGACAAATAAGCATTGTCTTTAATTAAAGGGATAAAATATGTTATAATTTTCCCGAACAAGCTTGGCTACATGTGAAGTTTTTACATTGTCAAATTTATTTGCAATAGATTTGCATTTAATTTGGGCTATTCAAATTTTACTGAAATGTATAAGTAGTCGATCCCTTACTGTTATGAAGCAACATGTTTACGCAAATTTTGCGTGAATATATTTCATTTTTAAAAATGATAAACTGTACATAATACCATAAAGATGTCAGGTCATTGTTAAAAATCAGTTTATGATAAGCCATTTTACAATTGCAAATAGATAAATACCTTAGTCTATTAAAGGTCGTTTCCTTTATTTTATTAAAAACACCTATCTCCCATTAACCAAATGCCTTTCACCGCCATTTTGTCCTTTGTGCTATCGGGTTTGACAATGTTTAAACCCGTATAGATCTATCGTAGTCAAGTGCAATTAGACTTGGATAAAATTTCAAATGTATATTTGGGAATATAGATTACAAATCTTATGTGTGTGTGTGCGCGCGCATTCGCGTGCGTATGTGTGTATGTGTTTTTGTATGTTTGTTTTTGCTATCATTTAAAAAAAGTGAAATATTTATGTAGATGAGCCAACCTAGCACGATATTTAAACCTCTTGAAATAGCGAAAAGACGGAGCGGTAAAAATGCATACATACACACAAGTTACCTTCTTTGGCATCACATAAGAGCTTAATGTTGACAATATGCAGCACTTTAAATTCTAAATACCGCAACCAACTTCCCTGAAAGTATTTGTAAAAACATAGCTTTAGGATCGGTGCAGGCGTTATGAAGCATTATGGGAGTGAAAAAAATGACAAAACTGCTTGAATGTTTACGAATTAATTTCCAAGCCTCTGCTCCTGCAAGCTTCATAGCATGGTTAAGGTCAAGGTTTATCCAAAGCCATCTGAAGCTTCTTTTAATGAGGCAGGGTTAAAGTTCTTGCATGTGGCGGTTGAATTTAAGTAAAAGGTTCATCTAGTTTCAAGGTTATATCAAATATAGTTAAATCAAAATATTTTAACAATTAACCTCTGTAGGCCAATATCAAGTAAGTTAGACCTGTAATGAAAAAAGGATAACAATTAAACCTGAAAAGTTGTTTTTGAAGCGCAGAATAATGACTGACAGTAAAAAAAGTGACACACTTAAAGTATGATAAACATGATCCACAAGGAAAGGCGGTCGCTTCGCGTTTCCATTAACGCAACTCCAAACGACCGCAGAACAAAGAACAGCCGATAAAGCAGCCGCTTGGAGGAACACCAACGAAAATTAGGAACAGGGCTCAAAGGCAGGAAAGACTTTAAAGAAATACAGCTGGTAAAAAAAGCACTGTATTGGTCTTATATAGTTAAACAAATCAACAATGAAATAGTTGTTCCCATTTGATGGCGCATTGTACGGGAAACTGTTAAAAAATACAATACCTTTATATTCATTTTGGCAGAACGCCTGATTGTGTGGTTTAAATTTTCAGATCTTTGAATATATACAAGGGTAACGTTGGGCAATCAATCATATATTATCATTACAAAGGCAAAAAAGTCTTTCCCCACACCTGATGTTCTTACCATCATATAGAGCAAAGTATTAAGAACATTTTCATACCAAACACTCACTTTCATTTCAAAATTAGAGTCATTGAACGCCGCCTTTCCTTGTTGACCATGTTTATCATATTTGACACTCTGGAATAAGAGCGGGCTTAACTTTGGAGTACCACAAATTACAATGTAGCTGGTCAACAATCCACTTAATGTCGTAATAATTGTCCATCCACGTTTTTAATAATAATAAATGTTGTATCGCGATGCTTTATCTAAAGTGAAAAAAAAGGTTTTGTACATACAATTTTCAATCACTGCTTTTTTTGCAAAATTTTATGCATTTAAGTAAAAAAAAAACATTCCTGGTACAGAAGACAAAAATGGGGGTGGGGCCCCCCCGCTTTTTTTTTTTTTTATAAAAAAAAAAACTTTGGGGGGGGGGGTTTTTTTACAATTTTTTATTTTAAGCATTATCTTGGTTTTCTTTCTAAAATTAATTACAACCAAAAAAATTACAAACTTAAATAACTAACGTGAACGTTTCAATAGTTTGATTTACGCTTAATCCATGGGTCAGCTAATTACCTGTTTAAATAGTATCTGAAGACTAATTGGTTGTTTCCGAAAAAGTATGACCCCATTTGGCTGAGTCAAAATTGATCAAAAGACGGTCATTTGAAAAACTTTGTAGCTGTCCACACTAGAAAATATTTCTTGCTAAATATCTGAGCTCCAGCCAGTTGTTTTAAATATTGTTACTTAATAAATACAAGCAATTATCATAGTATTCAAGCAATCTATAAGTTCCTCCCGGTAAGAACCCAGAACATTTATAAAGGCCCCATTGGCCATTCAACTATGCCATTGAATAAATAAATGACATGAATTTACTTAAATTTTTTGAGTTCTTATTTGTCTGTTCATAGTAATGGTTGCGTTCCTTGGCTAGAAATGAAATCATTTTTAACAAAATAATAAAAAAGGTCCATTTTTCTCGGGAAAATTTGGGTAAAAATAAAGTGAGTGAACAAAAAACAATTTTTTTTAATTTAAAAAATAAAATTTTTATAGTCACAAAAGAAAAATAAAAAAAATAAAAATTTTTCAAATAACCTTTAAATATTAAGAAAACAAAGAAAAATTAAAAAAAAAAAGTAGTTGATAAGGTGTAGAAATGAGTGTTTTTTTAATTTTTAAGTAAATCCATGAAGAAAAACGAAAGTTTTAAAAAGAATAAGAAAAAAAACAAAGTTTTTAAAGGGGGGATAAATTTTGGAAATATGGGTTTTAGGTTTATAAAAAAAAAAAAATTTTTTGGAGTTGTAGAAACTTAAAAGGAATGAAGTATTACAAAACCAATTTTTCGAAAAAAAATTTAGTTCAAGGGGGAGGGGATTATTCTGAAATACTTTTCTAAAATATTGAACTTCGCAAAAGATTTGAGTGATTATAAATTTGTTATTTTTGTATTTGGCTTGTTCGTCACAGGCCATGAATTTTTTCCGTCAAAACCCATCTCGAACATTTGGTTTTAAAGGCATTTTCTTCAACTTATTCAGAAATATTGAATGGGCTAGTCGGCAGTTGCAGAGAAATGATAAAATGCTGGGGAAGTTAGAAAAAACTGATTTTGGTTACTAACTGTTTAGATTTTTTTAACTTTATAAACTATAACAGTGCATTCATAAGGGAGTTTTTCTTTTTTTCAATAAACTTATTCCATTGCATACTTTTCGACCTAATTTTATTGGAACTTATATATAAACTATGTTTTTTTTTAAATATAACGATTAAAATAGAGGATCAAAAAACCTTTTTTAGTGCGTTTCCATTGCGAAGTAAGAGACTCATTTAAAACGCGAGCCCAAATGGTTTTAGAAAAAAGTTTTAGTGACTGTTATAATAAGCATAAAAATGCACTAAAAAAACATTTTTAAAGGCCCCTTTATGGGGGGTAAAAATATTTCAAAAAATTTATATTAAAAAATTACAGTTATTTTTAGTTTAATTTTCTGTAAATTGTAAGCGTTGTAAATGGCTATCATTTTATGAGAAAGGCATCAAGACGCAAGTAA